GATTCAATTTCTCCTTCTCTCATGTATGCACGTACATCAACAAGTATGAGTGTGACAGCTGATCACTTCTATCACTATTCTCTTTCATCAAAACAAAATTGTGTATACGTGTGATTGTTGAGTGTGTGACTTGAATTGTTTTGCCACATCACATTGAGCGATTCTTGTGACAGTGCAGTCATTTGAATTTGAATTGCATTTCACACGACAATTTTGATCAGCTTATTCTATTTTTAGTATCTCATGTCTGTCTGTCTCTGTCTGGAATCAACATAGATTTTGGCACCGAAGTGCAGCATTTTGACTTGACACGTTGCAAATCGCACACAAATGTAGACAAGTAAATGAGTGAAGGCAATCAGTGGAGTTTTGACAATTAAAAGATTGCAACAGAATGGGTAATGGTAGAAAGGAGTATGAAATATTACAGAGACTGAATACATCTGCGCCATTGACAAGGATTTTGAGAGATGTCACCTATTGTCTCCAGCCATAGATTCTTAGAGTCTCGAGGGCCCCAACCCGGAAGTCTGCATCTCCCTACCTGACTCAGTTTAACTTCAATGATTTCATGGATTGATGCCATGTTTTTGTTTGGCCACCGCGTACTCCTTTCCAACCGTTCCCTACACGAGCTAGTAATGGCCGTCAGGGGAGGCGATGGTTACGCATGCGAAGCACGTGACCTAGCCATATCAATCTATGTTACTTTATAGCCTCTTCGATTGATGTTCCCTCTTTGCCCAACACTCTACGCCAAACGTCAACATTGCTTAGCTTATAATACCACCTAACGTGAGAAAGAGATCGTAGACATCCATGATCAAAATCAGTCAACCTTTTCATGTCTTCAACTCGTATTGACCATGTTTCTGAGCCTCAGAGAAGGACGGAGGGAACTGCTGAGTAATACACACGTCCCTTGATTTGTAACGAGATTTCACGCGCACGCCACTCATGGTGTGTTTTAGCCAAATGAGCTTGATATTTTTGGATCCGTGCTGAGGTTTCTTCGTCAATCTTTTTATAGGAGAATTTTTTGATTTTGAATTTTATTTCACACGACTATTTGAATACTTTTGTTTCAACTTTTATTATCTAATGAATCCGTACCTATATTTTAATCGCCTCAGCGGATACAAATTCTTGCATACCATTTCATATATGCTTTTACGGCTTTACGGCTTTTTATTGAACTTGATTTGGAGAATTGCTGCTCTGCTGAATAGCTCACTTTCAATTCTTTATTTAACTTGTATGCTCTTTATTATTTGAAGTTGCATATTATACTCTCTTCATTTCTTGTGAATACTTAGGTAGTAATTTTAGCCTCCGTCTATATCAGTCATTTGTAGACGTTGTGACTTCTTCATGCTCCTATTTTTGATTACTGATTATATATCAGGATGTTCGCTTCGTTTCGTTGCTAAAATATTTTTTAGTACAGTTTACTTCGTCGCACCGTCTACAGTTGTCTTGAAAATTTCATGAAGTATGCGGTCAATTTGTTCAGCATTCATCCAGGAATCTGCATACTTGTTTTCATAGTGCCAACTTGCTTCGAAGAATTTCGATCACATTGTAATCATGAATCCCATTCATGTATCTATAATTATTGATGCGCTTGCATGCGCCCACAAAGTGTTAATAGACATACTACAGTACAAAACACATTTCAGTGTCTTTGTTACCAGTAAGCCACTGCCTTATCTAAGTAATCCACACATCACAAGATTCATCTCACTGTCACTAACCGAATGTACAGCGTAGAACCGACGAACGCTGTGTTGATCTGGACAGCTGTTTCGTCCTTGTTTGAGATTGTATTGCAATTACATTGTTACATTGTCGCTTACCAGGTAACTTAAGGATGGTGCAACCAACCTATAATCCAGGTGTGAGTGTTTACTTGCAAACATTTCCAAACACTCATTCAGAGCATCTTGTAATCAAGTGTCAACTTTAAAAGAGTTCCAAATTCCAAGTATTACAGTTAGTTCTAGTCTACCTGTATAATATCTTTACTGTGGTGTTTTTATTCAATTAAGATAAATTTGAAAACAGGTGACTCAGCGGAGAAACTCTTTTCATCAAAGAATTAATGATCAAACCGTGAAATCAAATATATGTATAGATAAAACTTTTTCTGGTGGGGAAATTCAAGGATTCATGTGCATACATGCAACAGTAATATAAGCCATAGTATATGAAGTGCATTGGAAATTCAAATCTTGGTTACGTCAGAATCATCGTCTAGTGTGGAGAAGTAAAACAATTAATGGCACAAATAGAGGAATTTATAGGCTATATGGAAGTAAGCGGGAAAGTGAGATTGTGGCGTGAGTAGGCAAATAGAGTGAAAAGAAAAGCGCTCATTAGCAATGCTAAATAGTCTCACTGATATAAGTGGAATACGGAAATGTGTATTCAAAGTGAGTATGTACATGAGAATTGGTCGAATCGACCAAGTCTCTAGGAATGATGATAACCAAATTTCCAGGACTTAGTTGTCTTCGTTGTACGGTAGTATTACGGGTGTGGTGCTGAATACTACTGTGGTGAGAGCTGCCAGCAAGCCACTTTTAGACCACAAATTACGTCAATGTTTACGTCGAGAATCAGCGTCCTGCATACAGTTCGAATTAATCACCGTACACATAACAGAAAAAGGATAACCTCATAGAAATCATTTGTTTTCAATCAATTTTGATTGTGTACACAAGTTTGTTTTTATGGCTTGATTCATAATTCAAATTGGATCACGAAGTGAAATAAATTTTGAAACAGTCTATAAACACTTGAGAATATTGGACCGCTGCTGAGTCATCCTAATGATAAACTCAACGGAAGTACACAGGTGCCAAAGTAGTTTGCAACTAGGTCCTTGCAGTTACAAAGAACGCTAACTCGTTGACCATTCAGTCAGTGATATCTGACTCAATCGCCCATGAATTCTAACTGCTGGCCCACACAGGAGATGCGAGCTGCTGAAAAGTGTTAAGCTGTCACGCGGTACATTCCAATGAGTACGCCAAAACGAGGTCTGTTGATGAAGGCGAAGTTATTATGATGTCTGGTGAGTAGCAGCGGAATCGAATCCACGATTTCCATTTCACCTCATTCGGGACTAATCATCTGGTGCTGTTGTATATCAGACTCGAACTCAGCGACCATCGTCAAAACCTCAACCACAAGAACACTCGGTCCATGAGAGCTATCCATTTTCGTACAACAGGCATCAAGCAAATCCTCTCTTCCGAAGCTAGTTACCATCTATTTAAGTAACTCTTGTTATAATTAGTTGATGTGAAATGATGGATATGTATGTTTAAAATGTATTTTCCATCGTATAGCATACATCTGCACAGATAAAAACAGTAATCTGAGCAATTATCTACAATTTACATCTCGTTTCTAAATATCATCTTTTTTTTGTGATTAGCTGTTTTCTCTAGTCAAGTTGAATCCAATTCTAACTAAATTAATGATTATCACTCAAGCATAAACAAACAGATTCAGTCAAAATCTGATTGGTTGGTGGAAGTAACCAATGAATGAAATAGTTTCATTTCTGAATGGTATAAATAGTCGAACGAAATAGTCTATAAGTATCAAGTTAGTTGGTAACTATTCAGTACACGCTGCCAATAAGTGAGTTCCAGTGGTATAAATATTCATACGATATACTGTGTAATATGTAATTATATTACATTTCCACATTCTCGTTATCAAGGTGTGACTGTATGAATGTCGCGAGTCGAAACCTAGGTAGTCTGTACATTCGCGTCGAACTGTAGAACCCAATGGGTGAAGTGTCTCATTTGTTCTCTGTTAAATATTTCCGTAATTTGAAGCTCTGTCTGCTAATTGTGAAATCCCTTGTGATTAGTCTGTTTCAGAAATTGTCTTGAAATCGTATCGAATTCATGAGAATTCCTTTAATATAATTTGGTGCATTTGCCAAGTAGTGCTACTCTAGAAACGTCACCACCGATAATTTCTTCTACCTTCATGTATTCGACTAATTTTTGTGTGCTTCAGACAAGATAAGTAAGAAAGTCACATATCTTGTCCATCTAATGAAGACACGAGAGAGAATGTTGATCAGCTTTATGCTGAATTAGATTGTCAGGTTAAAATTCTGCGTTAGCCTAATCAAATGTTGCTGTCACATTTCCAAAATTTAGGTCCCCATATGTAGTAGTGGAATAATTTTACACATATATCTTTTGGGCAAATATGGAAATCTGTTAACTTAGTTGTTGTCCGCAGACTTCTTTTTAACTTCATAATGAAATCATATATCTCCTAACGAGTGCTAGCACTGTCATGCGTCTACACTGCTGTTCATTCATCTTTAGACAATCCATGAGAAATTTCGACCGCTATGCAAGAGACTCTCTCTCACTACAGCTGTCATCAGCAGATGGCATCGATGTGGCTGATGGTGTGGGTCCGTGGCTAGCAATATATATATATGTATATATACATTCAGACAAAACTTTTAAATCTAGGTAAATTTCAAGAATAAGGCTGTTCTTAATATTCAGAGTAGCTTTTAATTTTTTAGATGGATTTCCGAACAGCCTGCGCATTCACAGTGCACATGACTGACATAGAGCGTGTAGCACACCTTAATTTTTCACTAACGGCGTTTGGAATAAGTTAAGTATCAAACCTGGAAAAAATACTTTTGTTCTTTATTAATAATACTATTACTACTATCCCCCTGGATTCCAAGTGTTGATGAAAGTGCGCAGTTGACTATTCGAAGTGCTCTTTGTGACTCACTGGCCTAAATTCAGACCCACATAGATAGACAAACTGACTGATTGACTGATTTAACATTGGTGTTGAAAATTCTCATCATAATCTGTATGCTCAGGTTGAGTGCGGAAGATTTCTAAAAGAAAATATCTTGTTCTGTCATTCCTTTCAAAAAAAAGCTTCATTATGTTTTCCCTTTCATATATACTTTCAGTAAAATGGTGTCTCAGAGGTCAAAACTAAACTTCATCATGATCTTCGGTCTGTGCATGGTCAATATTATGACGATTAAATCAGATGAATACACGCTCCCGATGAGAATTCCTGAAGAAGGTAATTTATGTTTATTCTATGTATGCAATTGAGTGTAGTGAATGTGACTCTGACTAGCGATCACCGTAAATCACTTCATTAAAATCATGACACTTCTCACGGGTGTCTGACTGACTGACATACTGATTGCCTGCAGGATACAGTTACCTTGAATTCCAGTGACAGTTTGTGACCACTGGGAGAAAACAACCTCACACATGATGACATTGATTTTCAGGGGTGCTATATATTGCCAAGTAACAAATGTCGGAATTCATATGTCACTGGATTCCGTCCTGGTGAATGAATAGTCACTGATATCATCGGATCACCTGCTGGTTTCTGTGTGCATTCCTCATGAGATAATAGGTTTATTTGGTGTGGTAGTCCACTCAGTCAACGTCTATCTTTTATGCCACATATCACTTCATTCACAACGGTTAGCAGCAGATTGCCTTTGATATGAAAGGCGAAAACTTACAGTCCTCACAGAGGAGAAGGCAGAGAATTGGAGGGTTGAAGTGGAGACATAGGAGATATAGTTTATATATATAGTTTAGGTAGATAACCAATGCACGAACGACAGCAAGAAACACCGATCACTCTCAGTCAGATAAATTTGAAAACGTTCACCTCTTTCATTCAACAGTCTGGGCAACATCCTTCCAACTACAGGAAATCGGGACTGAAACGGATATCACCTTCGAGGAAATTCTATCACAGTCAGTCTATAAAGTCACTGTGTCTTTGAAAGTGACTTGATAAAGTTTTTTTCAAATAATTCACTGCGTTGCTTCTAATTCCTGAGAACCATATCTTCGCAAAGGGCTCATCCTGCACAAAAAAACAGATAACATTTTAAACCTGTTCATTTTGTCACTGACTTGTCAACGCGTATATTGAAGGTATATGCTCACCATCAGGATATCAAGGGGAAACGAAAACAAAGTTCAGTAGGGATGAAATTATTCTGCACAAGGTCGAATATACTCATATAAATATACAGTTCCTCTTGTTGTTAAACACTCTCAGTTGCAAGTAATAGTTAATAAGGAATTGATTCGTTCCAAGTGGCACCTCATACAACCATGATTCTGGAGAAAAGGCGAAACACATCGAGAAATGTCGGGCAGCTGTTTCGACAGCCTAGTTTCGGACTCATCGGCGGTATCAGCCTACGAGGTTGGTTATAGCTTGAAACCACACAGTATTTTTGTACAAGTATGGAATTCTCAGTATGCGATATCGGTAGCCCAAATTTTCCAGGCCGACCATAGATATCAGGTGTGCGTCGGTAGGGGATCGAAACTCGGACCATGTACATGGTCGGTGCGAGTCCTAGCCACTGAGCCACTGACGCACATGGCTGGCTGGCTTGTTGATAATTGAGCCACTGTGACCTGAATCAATCCCCTATGAATTCCAACTTACTTCTACCTTGGTTCGAATTTCGATGTGCACTCACTGCTGATCGGCCTCAAAATACAATGAAACAGTTGGCTTGACCTGGAAATCAGTCACTTCTATACAATTTGATCGTTATTTATTCAGGGTAAATTCTGACTATTCACTCTGTTCTCAAGACTGTCAATCTGAAGAAAAGGGTGGCAATTTCACGTGGCATCCGTTGTTCCCTTTGCATGATTTTTGGATATTCACTGAATAACCGTGGACTGAGAGACAATTACTGACATAAAATGAGCGACGAATGCGAGTGGAACAGAATTCTATATTGCTGTGTGATATGAATCAATGACTTGAAAATTCTCATTCGGTATCTATGGCAAACGAACTTCAATACTCAACGGATAATCATATCATTTTTATTTCACTTCATTCATGAACTATTTCTTTTTGTTCATTTTCAGGGAAAGTAAAAGTCAATTTTAAAGGAATCAATTTCACTTTGGACTCTCAATACGGACTAACAGTTCGAGATGGGGACTGTACATACAAGATGAAATTCGAACCACCAAACAAAAAACAAGAGAGAGAAAAAAGTGAAGAGCGTCAAGGTTCAGTGTGAGTCCTCTTTAATATGTGAATTATGTGACATCTGAAGCTTTAAGACAAACGTTTTTTTCCAAATCACTTGATAATGGTAATGTTAATATGCTCACCGTACCCTCAAGAATACTACGTAAATTCTCCAAAGTGCCTCCTCTGACATATAAATATGAGGCGTCTTTTTGTCGCTCTTGTCTTGTATGAACAGCATCACACTTGTGGTGTCACATGTAATGGCCAGTTTGTTTCCACTTTCATTAAACCGCATGGAGTTCACGTGAACAAATTTATACAATATGTGACAGAAATAATAATAATACATTGTCGTGCTCCTGCAGAATTATTTATATTGGGTGGAAAGCAACATACTACTTTGAATTGAGGTCGCTTCACTTCGTTCCTCACGAGAACTGGTGTGCCTCAAAGTGCTGCACCTTCAGTTTCACATGTGAACAGAACACATCGCCTAATTGTTGACAGTATTGTGAAAGAGATTGAATGAAATATCTGACATCTGAGCTTCCGTTACTTTTCGAATCTCCCTTGCTAGTCTCATATCAAGTAGAACATTGTGGGCTGTATTAAAGTTGATGGTGTGCTACCTTCGACTTAGCCGACTGACATAATCGTCAACAGACACTTGAATTCTCGCAAGCAGTTTGCTCAGCGTATCTCGTCTGACACCAGACACCCTCTCTACTAATTTTGATTTTGAACTTTATCTTTACGAGTGTGAGAGCAGAAGAAATTACATGGGAAAATGTAAAACCTCAACCATGCGGAACTTCTGAATCAGCAGCTGAATAACAAATTCCTATTCAGCTGACTCTACGACTATCCACAGGCTCTCATCTACTCCACCCGTACAGGCACACACAAAATAATTTCTGTGTGGACGGCATATCAGTAACTCATCATTTCCAAGTTAGACTGCTCTTGAGTGATCGCCTGACGTGTCTTCTAACTCAGCAGACTCCATAACGTGTGTTCGAGTCACTTTCACTTCTTCAGACATAATTGTGGTGAGATAGGATTTTGGTTATTACACTGTAGGAATTTCTTCCGACTAAAGAACAAAAAAATTTTTGTGCAGGATAAGCACCACTTGTAAAGACAATGTAACTACCATCAAGTGCACAATGGCTTACGATTCAAGAAATATACCACCGTCTATCATGCAATCCATAACTGATCACTTTAGATAAGAAAACTGATTGTAACGAATATTCATGACTTCAATTTCATCTTTTTTCAACCTCTCTTTTTCTAGGAGATGTAATCGCCGGCAACCTAAAAGTACTTAGAGTGTCGTTGTTTCAAATAGAAGTTTGGGGTTGCAACCAAATCAGACTTCACAATTATTACTGTGCTTTCTCAAATGCTCTTTTCTGATATTAACAATATGAACAGGCTTCAAATTTTGAAAACTGACTATTGTTTTTCTTCTTTCTGTAGATTAAATCTTCTTCAATAAATGCATATTTAAAATAAAGTTTTGTCTTTATGGAATGGTTTTGTGTGTTGAGGTAGTGAGTGAACGATTGATTTCAGCACGGAGTGTGTCTTTCTTGTTGAGTTTGCATTTGTCAAGAAGAGACACTCAGATTATGGAATCGGTATTAGGCAGCTAGCATACGACATCTTCATTGTAGTGAAATGTTGAATGCACGGTTTGTGGATGTATTGCTTTCAAACATAAGTGACCTGGCTCAACTCTATTATACGTAACTTTACAAATGCAAATTCAAATAAAACCGATCATGTTATTTTGTCTATAGGATAAAAAATTGTGTAATTTGACATAGTAAAGGGAATGAAAATAGTATTACTAATGGTTGTATCAATTTTAAGGACGAAAATGTGTTCCGTTCTGTGATGACAAGAATAACGACATAACGAATAACAGCATGATTAAACAAACAAATATTAATTTAGATGTAGTAGTTAATGATGGGTTGGAAAAACACATGAACTGATAATGATGTGCTGGATTATAAGGTGAGTAAATGAAATGGGCCTTAATTGGAATCTGATAAGATTAATAGATGATGAGTGAGTGGCTGAGAATACAAGTAAAGTGTGGTATGGAATTCATCAGTTGGTTATGTCCTAATAGGCCAACAAAGGAGGGACAATGGCAGTACGAACTTCTTTCGAATGCACAGTTGAGGTTGACTAGTTGGAATGCCAGTGGCCTCTGCTGTATGCAGTAGATGAGAACAAAGTCTACTGGACACCTTCGGTGGGATATCATAAATTACTTTGAAAGTTCTCGTTTTCTCGGCTACATCAACCACTATCGATTCACATTCATTGCACAAACCATGTGATTTAGTTTTAAACTCTGATCCGTTAGCAGAATTCGCTTAAATTATTTATCAAGTATATTGAACAACCTTGCAACTATTAGTTTCCAGTATTGACTCAAAACTGTCCAACTGAATCAACCTACTAAGTCCACATTTACTTTGAATTCGACTTAACGTATTATTATTATTGTTCCCTAGGGTTCCTAGTGGAACATAGGGCTTCAACTGCACGCCTCCACTTGCTTCTGTCTTCTGCTGTACTTTTCACTTGCGTCCACGTTAATCCATACTGTTTCATCTCCTCCCCACACGATCTCCTCCATGTCACCCTTGGACGTCCCACTCGCCGCTTCCCTTTCGGGTTCCACTCGAGGGCCTGACGCGCGATGTCACCCAGCGGCCTTCTCAGCGAGTGTCCAATCCATCTCCACTTTCTCGTGCCTATTTGTTGGGCGATTGGTTCCTGTTTCGTTTGTTCTCATAGCTTCTTGTTAGCGATTCTTTCCGGCCATCTGATCTTCAGTCTAGAGCGACGAAGACAGCTGTTGATAAAGGTCTGCAACCTGTTGAAAATATTCTTGGTGATTTGCCAAGTTTCTGATCCGTATAGCAAAACTGACTTGACGTTTGTATTGAAGATCCGAATTTTGTTGTTGATGCTGAGTGACGAAGATTTCCAGATTGGTTACAGGTTGATGCATGTGTTTCTCGTCTTCCCGATTCTCGATTTGACATCTTCGTCCGTTCTTCCCGTGGTTGAGACAATGCTACCTAGATAAGTGAATGAAGTAACCTCTTTCAAATCCCTCCCGTTGATGGTGATTGGCGCTGGATGTTGTTGTTGTTGGTTGGTTATTTTCATAACCTCCGTCTTGTTTTTGTTCACCTGGAAACATGTCTTGGCTGCTTCTTCGACCAGTTTGTCGGTTTTTGCTTGTAAGTCTTCGATCTCGTGTGACATCAAACATAAATCATCCACGCGCGAAATCCAGGTCTTCTAGGTTTTTCACGTCGGTGCAGGATATCCCTGTCTTCTTGATTCCTACTGTCTGACGCATAATCCAGTCCACCACAATTAGGAATATCATTGGTGATAATAAGCACCCTTGTCTGACTCCTGTGTTTACTCCAAACGCTTCGCTGAGTTTTCCGATGTGGATCACTTGACATGTGCCGTTGTCGTACAGCTGTTGAATAAGTTTGATGAATATTTGGGATACGCCGTAGTACTCTAGTAGTTTCCAAACTACTTCGCGGTCAACGCTGTCGAAGGCCTTCTCAAAGTCTATAAAGTTGAGGTAGGGATTTGATTGTCATTCCATGCTTTGTTCGATGATAATGCGTAGAGTTGCAATTTGGTCAGAACATGATTTGCCTTTCCTGAATCCAGCTTGTTCTGGTCGGAGTTCTGTATCAAGCGCGTCCTTGATTCCCTCCAGGATGATGCGACTCACGATTTTACTTGTCGTCGACAGGAGCATGATTCCTCGCCAGTTCTTGCAGAGTCCTAGGTCGCCCTTCTTTGGTAGTTTCACGAGGTAACCTTTCCTCCAGTCAGTAGGCACCTTTCCCTCCTTCCAGACCTTTTACAATAATGGATTCAGCATACCTGCTGCCGTTTCTGGGTCCGCTTTCAGTGCTTCCGTGGGTATTCTATCTGGTCTAGATGCTCTTCAGCATTCAAAAACTTGATTGCATTCAGGACTTTGGCTTTCGCTGGAGGATCGGTGTCAACTTTCAGTTGTGTACGTGCTGTTGTTGGTATTTCTGGACGGGTTGCAGGTGTTGATCGGTTCAAGAGTCCCTTAAAGTGTTGAGTCCATTGTTTCATCTGTCTTTCTTCATTGGTAATTGGGTTCCCCTGGCTGTCTTTAATAGGTTTTACTTGTGTTGATCCCTTCCCAGATAGAGTCTTGGTTATCTGATACAATGTCCTCAGGTCCCTTTAGCCTGCTGCATTTTCAGCTTCAGTAGACAGGTTGACGTAGAATTGTCTTCTGTCCTTCCTGGCACTCTTCTTCACTTGTTGGTATAAGATGGTTGGAGGCAATCGGCAGGAAGCCTTGGATCTAGGTTTCGTGCTAGTTGGCACTCATCAGCAAGGCGTATCTGCAACCTTGAAGGAACTGATGTCCTTTCTGAGATTCGAACCCTCGTCACCCAGTGCTGCAGTCAGAGACGTTACCACTGAGCTATTCAGGCTCGCACTTCTTTGTCCAGTGCTGTGTCAGTTGAACTCAACGTCTCTTTCTTTTGTCCGTCTTTGCATTGAATCATTTTCTCTTTCACCATTCTCCTCTCCTCTATTAGCTTCAAAGTGTCCGTTGAGAACCATTCCTTGTCTTGTTTCTTCTGTCTTCCTAAAACCGTTGAACACGTTTCGTTGAAAATCACCTTCAGAGAGTTCCAATGGTCTTCCACGGATGATTCTTCAGTGATGCCACGTAGTGTTTCCTGCTTTGCTCTGACAGTTGCAGTGAAAATGTCCTGTGTGATTGTGTCCTTCAGTTTTTGCGTATTGAACTTGCATTGTGGCCTATCCCCAGGTATCCTCGACGCTTTCAGCTTCACCTTGAAAGTCCCTTGTACTAGATAGTGGTCTGAATCCACATCTGCTCCTCTCCTCGATCTTGTGTCCAGTAGGCTCCGTCTCCACTTCCTTGAGATTGAAATGAAGTCTATGTGGTTTTTGGTGTGTCCATCTGGTGAAATCCATGTTGCCTTGTGTATGTCCTTGTGTTTGAACACACTGCCACCAATCATCACATCTTGTAAGGCGAAGAAATTTGAGAAGAGTTCACCATTGTCGTTCATTTCACCAAGGGCCTCACAACCCATGGTGAGATCTCTTCCTGTATTGTCTCCTCCTGGCTTTGCATTCATATCACCCATCAGGATTTTGATATCGCCATTTGGGACGTTGTCCATTACTGTTTGTAGTTGTCTGTAGAAGGCCTCCTTCTTCTCTTGTTCTGAGACGTTTGTAGGTGCATAGCATTGAATGATTGTAACCTTCCTTCTTTTTGAGTTGAACCTGGCTCCCATTATTCTGAAGGAGATTGGTTCACACTGCATGAGAGCTTTGGCCGCTGTTGGTGAAATCACGATGGCTACTCCCTCGGTGTGCTCTTGATCGTCCTCTCAATGACCAGAGTAGATTATTGTCTCTCCAATTGGTAGTTGACACCTTCCACATCCGTTTCATCTGCTCTCTCAGATTCCCATTACTTCTATATTATATCTTCTCATTTCTGCGGCTACCTAGGCAGCCCTTCCAGTTTCGAACAGTGTACGAATATTCCACGTCCCCATCCGTATTTTTGCTTTCATCGAAAGAAGGCACATCGGCTGACTGGCTTCTCGAAGGCTTCCACCAGCCTGCGTCATTTCACTTCTCCGTTTCTAGCGAAAAATAAGGTTATCGTTTGTATTTTTAGAATTTAAAATATATTTGTGCGTCGAAGTTTTCGTAGCAATTTGGTTAAATTTTGGGGGTGTAGTTGCTAGCACCACGCCGCAACCCTCCCTCTTTATCCGGGCTTGCGACCGGCTAGAATACTAAAGACCTAGTAATCTAGGCGAGGTTAACGTAGCTGCCCTGAAAATTTGAAGGCACATTCGCTGCACTGCTGCGAATTCCGGTGCACTGATTAATCGTATCTGACATGACCTGCACCCGAATCAGGTTGACTAGAAGACCTGAATCGTAAAGATTCACCGGGGAAAAAAGTTATAAACAGGAAAAAGAGGCAGCAAGAACGCGAAGAAAATCCAGCTTAGTTTCAAAGCCCTGTGCATTTGATTGAATCTCATAGGTTAATTTGAAGCTATATGATTCATCAAAATGATAAATATTAGATGAAAATGAGAACAAAGAAACAGCTGAAACCAGGAAGAAACAATATGTCAGAAAATATTGGGATTAATCAGAATTCCCGCGGATGATTGAATCGCCTAACAGGAGACAGTTCATTGAAGACCAAAACACATATGCGTGCACTGATTCCATCCCAGAAAAAGTGATGATCAAAATAGCCTCTCCGTTAACTGCCTTGATATCAGTTTGATTTCAAGTGAAGGATGAGACTGTCAACGGTGTTCAA